CGACCCGATTTACCGACCCTAAAGGTTACACGAGAGATCCGACCGATTAGCGACTGACTCGCCGTTTTACGATTACATCGTTCATAATTCTGGCCAAACTTGTAGATTATTTGACCACATTTAAAGTAAAATCACCACCCTAAAAAGTTTCAAGACCAATCAAATCTCAAGCATCAGATGTAACGTACTACAATCAGAAAAATTCAAAACAAACGTTCACTTTGTCAAAAATCTGTTATAACCCAAAATTTCGTCTATGAAATTGTTCTAATGGCATAATCCTAATCCTAATCTAAAAAAAATGGTGCCGATTCTACCCTTGTCATTTTGTTCTAGATCTGGCCAAATGGTCTGCAAATTTGACCAGAATTATTGACGATGAGTTCCTCTATTTACATTGATGCAAATCCACCGATATGCAGAAAAAAAGTGAAGAACGCAAAAAAACCGAAAACCGACATCTAAACTAGCTTTAGAGCACCAATTAAAAATGATGGAGGCTCAATTTTACACATATATAAAGCAGATGTTTTATATATATAAATTCGAAACCTAATGATCAAAAGTCTCTAGGGATTGAGGCTGTGCAGGCTGCGCAGTAGATTCAAAAAACCACGAATTTCCCATCTCTAGTTACGATTGGGTGGGTCGGTTACGGTTATGACCGGTCATAACCGTAACTGATATCAGTTGGTCAAAGGTTTGTGACCGACCGGTTAAAATCCTGATCGATACTATTTTAGCGATGTTAATTGATTCATTACAATGTTTGTTATTATATTACGCAATAATAAGTGATTTGAAAACAATAAGTTTAAATTATTTTTTCTTAATGTTAATCACATGTAGATGAGCGTAATGTCATAATTTGTTGTAATTATAATTACTATTAACTTTGAGCTGAAGATCCTTTTTGACTTTACCTAAGTAATTTAAAAATAAATTTTGTGATTATATAAAACAAAAAAAGAAGAAAAAATTTAGCTTAAAAACCAAGTTAAAATTTTGCTAATTTTGTCTGTTCTGAAGATGTAACTTCTCCAAAAATAATTATTTTTTAATTTTAAAATAATTATTATATGTAAAATTATGCACTGAACAACTTTACTTAGAAGACAAAAATAGGTTTCTTAGTATAAAAATAAGTTAACTATGTGTTAAAATAAATATTTTTTTTATCTATATAAAACTTTTTTTTTTTATTAATATGCCTTTCAAAATGCATTTTCTTGAATTTTTTATTAATTTTTTTTTAAAAAAAAAAAATTTAATAAAAGATTCAAGAAAATGCATTTTGAAAGACATATATATACATAAAATTTTATGTTAAACAAGTTTACTTAAGAAGTCAAAATAGATTAATAAAAAAAAAGGTTATATGGGGTGTCGTCAATTAAAAAGGCCTATTTTTACATTTTTAAAAAAATGAGTTTTTATTAGATTCATGTAAATTTTGACATGATTGACATTTATTAATTATCAATAAAAGTCGATTTGCATAATAAAAAATAAAGATAATTTAGAAGCAAAATTACATGAGGCTACCTAATGCTAAGCATATTACAAGATTGTCCAATAGTCACCTGTTACATTTAACTAATCAAAATTGTGAAATTTGGTTAATTCCGGATCAGTCCGAAAATCACAACAAATGATTAAACTCAATTATCTCAAAATGAATTATACAGTGCAAACAACCTAGTCCCAACAAATAAATTTAACTAAATTCAAAATACTAATTCTTGTTTACAAAAAACAATCTCTGAAAAATCTCTTCATAAAACATTAAAACCATCCAAACTAAACATCTTGGTGGTCTTAAATTTTTTTTAAAATTGGGTTTAATAAAATAGTAGAGAATTGAAATCAAGGTCATTTTATAATTAAACAAGCAATTGGCCACTCTATATATATTATTAAAGCAAGCAATTTGGCCACTCTATGTATATTAAATTTGGCCACCCTATGTATATTAAATTTGGCTGCCCTATATATATTAAATTTGGCCACCCTATGTATACTAAATTTGGCTGCCCTATATATACTAAATTTGACCATCCTACTAAAACTTGGCTACCTTTGTGTATATGGTTAAAATATATAATTTGGCTGCCTTTGTATGTATAAGTATGCTATTAAAACAAGAACTTTGGTGCCTATAATGATAAGCAACATTAAACTAGCAAATTTTGATACTAAACCAATACAATTATGTGTAAAGTAACAATTTTGCATTAAAGGTGAGATTGAAGGCATCTGATTAGTAAAACATTAGTCCAATATTTAAATTAAATTGTCACGGTTCAGGCCGATACTATTATTGAACTTTAATAAAATTTGTAAAACCTAACATCACAAACTTATGTATAGTTAATAATTTGAGCTTCAAATACATATCACGTATCATTTATTGTTTAAAATTATGTACATATGTATGTATATACACTTAAAAAGCTCAGAAAAAAAAAGATAAGCTATATGTACATAGTGTTTTGGATAAAATCTAAAAAAAGAAATTATAACAATATATTTGATTACTTTTTTGGAGGTTTCGCCCAAAACACAACCAGAATAAGTAATTGATGAATAATAAATTTGTTATGTAAAAGAAACATCAATCAACTTTAATTGAACTTAAAGCAAATTCAGGAATTTGACGATGTGAGCGGTATTTTTTAACAGCAAATTCTGCCACTTTACCTTTTAAACCTTTTTGATATGCATCCATATAGCGAAAAGCTTTTCTTACATATCGGCGAATAGTTGGGAGTAGGACAGAGTTGAGAGCTAATGAAATAGTTTTTTGTAATCCTTTCCATGAGTAATTACAATTTGCCTAGTTGTATTTTTTGGCAGCACCCCAGAAGTTCTCAATGTAATTGAGTTCACAATGAAATTTGGAGTAAAACACAATTTGATGCCTAGTCCCAATAATGGTTTCCTCCAACTGCCCTTTTTGTGCCAGAAAATCTGGCTGTTGACCCATTAATTCTCGTGCTTTTTGTAATTTCAATCCTTTTTCTGGCCACAATTCTCTCTCACTTATAACTTGTTTTAATCATTTAGCTTCTCCACGTAATTTAGGGATGTGATAATTCAACGAAAATACTATATCCTAATTATTTTTTATTTCTCCACGAAAATATGATGTGCTGCACATTTTTTCTTGTTTTCCAGCAGAACTAAGGTTCATATTCTTTGCAACAAGTGCATCAGATGCATAAGTAGTATGACTTTTTGTATTGTCAAATGCAAATAATGCTTGACATCCTGGGAAATAGGCTTCAAATATAGGAATAGCATGGTTGGATACTTGTTCAATTAAATCTTCAGATTTCCTCTATTCATCATTGTTTTTGCCAGGGCATATAATAACACAAGCTTCTCTAGAAAGCGTATCTGATGGTTGCATTTCTTCAAGAAGCAAAAGTCAGCCATGAACATCTGTAAGAAATTCACTGACATAAATTGAACGTCCTTCACCTTTTTTTCTTAAAGGTTGTTCCACTTCAGGAATCCAGAGACTTCAACTTCCATCATAAGCTGAAAAGACACATACATCATGTATAACAAGAATAAGCAGCTGTACACTACTATCTGGCCAGGTTTCTACTTTCATATCCTCATCTGAAAATACAGATATTCTATGTTCAAGCTCATTCATTCGTTCTAAAAATATTTTTCAATAGGCCACTATGTCTTCTCTTTCATGTCCATTGATGTAAATACTCTTTTTTACTCTTTCATATATATAACCAAGCTCTTTCAGATAATTTTTTGCAGTATTAAAAGAAATAGTTGGTGGTGGTGCAAATCTGAGCCCTGGTAAAATAACTTCATTCATCTGTAGCATTACCATATGTGGAGTAATATTCTACTTATTTTTTTGAACATACGACTTGATTTGAAGAAGAATATCTTCATCCCAAAGAAAGCTCCACGTTTTAATATGATGTTCTCGGTGCAAATAAGGAATTTGATGGGTCATAACATACTCATGTGACCAAGAACGAATACACCTAGCATGGTATACCCCTTTCCCTGCCACATCTGCAACTATCTTACTTGCTTCTATTTTCTGATAATTGTGTTTTATAAGTTGAGGATAAAAGCGAATACTATTAAGACGCACCCAAACTTCACTATTTACATTCTTATTTTTGATATCTAGTGTTATGTTTTCAAGTGCAGTTTGGATTTTTTTATACCAATTAGAGGTTTCAATCTCATCTTCTAATAGCCCTTCAGTATCATCTTCATTGACTTCATCCAGCCATCCATCATCAAACAATTCTACCTCAATATCTTCTTCAGCAGTCTTGTCTTGATTCCAAAAGGTAAACAATGTAGGCATTCCTTTTGCTGCTTCACGCTGTTGCTGTCTTTTTCTTCTTTTAGTACTGATAGAGTTTCCTAAATAGCATGGCCTATGGGATTTATTAGAATCACTTTCACGATAAAAGGTATTTGCTGCATTTAGAAGTGTTTTTGCAAAACCTTCAGCATTATCATTCTCAATCTCAATTAACTTATCATGAGCAAAAAGACTTTCATTATCATAATTTTTTAGCATATTATTATCACTATAATAATTGTTTGCTGCAGCTTGAAGTCTTTTTACAATACTTGTGGCATTGTTATTCTCAACCGCCTCATCATAAGAAAAGTTATTGGAATTTTTTGCTTCAGAATCATTAACATTAATATTATGCCTATGTGTCTTTAACTCATAAGCTTGCTTTGATTTTTTTTTATTGTTTGTTGGGTGTAGCATATTATTACTAACAAATCAATCACTCAAGATAGTTTTAATTTTTATATGAAATTACTTTATTGCAAAGAAACTCAAGGAATCAATTTTGACCAGATTGTTAATAATGATTTATTTATATTACAGTCATTTTTGAATCTTCAGATATGTCATTAGATAATTCTATAAATTTAATATAGCAAGACTTTGAATGGTTTAATAGGTGAGTTTTTTTTTTTTTCTCTTAAATCTTTTCCTTTTTTTATAAATTCAAAGATAGTTCTTAACATGCTTAATATGACCTTATTCAGAATTCTGTTTATTTTAGTTTATCTTTTTTTTTGTTATTTGATTATGGTTTAAATTACTTTACAGTTTAAGTTAGATTTTAGATATTTCAGTAGTCACATTATATATCAAAGTCACCAGCATAACTAATGCATTAGAAAGTGATCGAAAAATAGCTATAATGCATTTTTTTCAAGCATTTCAAGAGTTGTGATTAAATAAATAAACCAATATAAGGAAAGAGATCAAATATTGGTATTTACAAAAGGAGATAAATGTGCAATAGAATTTTAATATTTAAAGTACATTTATAAATTTTCTGATACACTTGGAATTATATCATTGTTTATAGTGATTTCGGAAAAATAGTTTATTATTTAATGCCTGTAGAGGTGTAGGCGAAGCATCCCAATGACATCCTAATGACATCCCAATGATGTCCCAATTATGTTATGTCTTAAGCCATAATTAGCTAAAGCTTATGTCATAACTAGTTATGGCAATCATTGGGACGATTCGTCTGCACCTCTAGTCTAGTGACTGCTTTGTATTCAATTCAATTTGCCGAAAGTAATATTGATGTGTTGTATATGCGAAAATGAGATATTGGAAATTTGTTTATAACTTATCGACCTTAGCTCTTATAAGCAAATTCTTATCATATATTACTGATTAAATATTTTTAGGAACTAGACCCAGTAAGTTGTAAACTCAAATGCCTGAATTCTTATTCCCCTAGCAATATTTATATTCTTGTATCATCATTATATATATAAAATAAATTTATGAAAATATCAAATTTGACTGTATATCGATATAATGAAAATATCAAATTTGGTCATAGATAATGAAAATATCGAATTTGGCCACATATAATGAAAATATCGAATTTGACCGCATATAATAAAAATTTGAATTTGGCCGTATTATATAAGATTTCAAATTTGGCCATTAGAAAATTTTATTTGTTGAGACTAGGTTGTTTGCACTATATGTAAAAATGGGCCCTTTTAATTGACAACACCCCATATAGATAAAAAAATATTTGTCTTTAGCATATAGTTAACTTATTTTTATACTAAGACAACCTATTTTTTCTTCTAAGTAAAGTTGTTCAGTGCATAATTTTATAATTTTTGGAGAAGTTAAATCTTCAAAATAGACAAAATTAGTAAAATTTAACTTGGTTTTTAAGCTAAATTCTTCTTCTTTTGTTCTATATAATCGTAAAATTTATTTTTAAGTTATTAAGTTAAAAAGGATCTTTAGCTCAAAGTTTATAGTAAATTCATATGTTTTTACTATAATTTTTATTATAAACAGCATTCTAGAGGAAATATCCTTGTCTGACATGATCTAATATTTATAAATAAAATAATTTATTTTAATTAAGATAATACGCATTAATTAATAAATTTAATGATGACACTCATACTCGATTACCGTGACTCTCGTGATTTAGAAGTGCAACGAAAGATGTTTAATGATAAGTTAGTAATCTTGAAGATCACATATGAATAGCTTAATTTTGCATCATGGTATTCTGTTTTATCTTAAGTTTCACTTTATAATTTATCAATAACACAGCTACAGTAATAACCAACATACTGGACTTCCCCAGCGTAACCATCAAAAAAACCGACAGTCATCTTTGCGGCATATATTGCTGATTGATATATTTAAAATTACTCTATCAGCTACATAATATATGTATAGAAATTGTTATAATTGTTATCGTTATTATTATTTTTTTATGTATAACGCAATTGATGATGCTACATAAATCACATATCCGGGGTTTTTATTGTGGTTACACTATACGTAGTAGTTCATCATACTGCATATCAATACTGATACTAATCCTGTTTAAATATACACATAGATCTGATTAGAACTTGGATAGAAAGTTTTGTCGCAAACAGGGCTTAAACGACTATATTGAAATGCCGGCCATTCAAAAATATCATTCTTGATTTATAGTATAATTGGCTGGTATAGTAAACAATAAGATGAATCAAGAAAAACACATCAAACAATAGGCTGCAGGTCGGCAAATTACTATAGGATTTTAAGCCCTGGTCGCAAACCTAGCTAATAACTGAACAGTTATTTGACCGGTCAATAACTGCGGTCGGTCTGTTATGAGTCAATTACCGCCAATAGCCGACCGATAACCGACCGTGACCGACCGGAACCACCCCTAGTTGCGATTCATAGTATTCACAAACATAATTTTTCAAATAATTTGTTAAATAATTTGTCAAATTATATATGTTACCATTGTTACCATTATTTTAATAATAGTAATGTCGTACTTGAATTAGTGAATTACCGTTTATTACGTAATTTCTTTTTTATTAGAAAGCAGTGATCTAATTCACAGCCAATCACGTTTATAGATAATATATTCATAGGCAGAAGCTTTTCTGATTGGCACCTTTTTGAGATTACTTAATAAACAGCACTTCCTGTTTGAAGTAAACCTGCCTAAACTTGCTTACTGACGCAACTTAAAGCATAACAGTAATGCGCAAACTTTGCAGGGTAATATTGATACATTTTTGTAATGCATATTTTTATTTTTATTTATGCTTAGTTTCTTTCACATTCTTTACATTTCGAGAAAGAATTTTACTATCTATAACAGTGGTGACCATCACCGGGCTGCAATATCTCAAAAATGGAACTAAGAAACAAGGATCAGATATATTAAATAAAAATTTTCAGAACCCCAAAAAACCTACTTGTAACTAAAATTTAAACCTTTATATCTGACCTCTGTCTTACCCTAAACCTGCACCCTAACTCTAAAAATAGTGGTGACGATCACTACTGGTTATTTGTAATAAAAATCTTCGAGAAAAAACTAATTTTCCCAATGTTATCATTATCATTGATATAACAATACAAGAAAAAATTGATTATTGCTCATTTACAATTACAAAATTACATTATATCACGTGATTTACTGAAAAACTCGTAGTTGTTACAACAATCGCTTATTTTCATGAGTAATACTGAAACTGAACAACAACTATACACTACCACACTACAATGATATTGAAACGATTGGGAGAATAACAGTTCTTTTTAGTACGCAAGGGATAAGTATTTTATCGTTGTTAATTTTATACGTTTTTCAGTTAGCTAACCAATATGAGATTTTAAGGACTTTTACCTATAATTCTCTCCATCACTTTTCCTCTATCAAGCATTTACCGTCTTATTTAATTCCTTTTACTAAAACTTCAAACACAAACCCTGGCTTTTCGTTCGTGAATATTCTCATTTTGGTTATATGAACTTGTCATTCGATTATTTTTTTGTTGGGGTGATTATGCATGTTCATGCAATTTCGACATGCATGCGGGCACGCGGGCCATCTGTCACGGTACCTGTTTCACATTTTACTTTACCTCTAACAATACGAAAGAAAAAAACCAAACCTGATATTGGTGCACTAATTAAAGATGTTGGGGACCAAATTTTACATGTAGAATTGATATATCCCCCAAACCAACGCCATAACCTTAAATTTCTATCTTCACGTACTTTATTGTACAAACCATGCTTTTATAACAACATCCAATTATAATTTGGAGGCTGGCTACATAGCATATCTCTGCGTATTTATTGCTTTGAACATTTCACAACCTTCTTCGTAATTTTCTTTTTGGGGTTGTATTACTCGCGAAATAAGTAAATTCTAATGTTTCACCCCAACTATTTATGCGATACATTGGTACAATGTATCCTAAATGATATTAGTATTTAATTTACCAAAAAATTTTTTTTTCGGGGGGGGGGACCGAGCGGGAGCACTACGAAAGAGCCAGGCAGAAGTTAGTCAGCGAAGAAAAAAGGCACTAATTTCTTTCTTATTATATACAGTATCTCCTTTTTCCTTATTTTCTTTCTTACTTCCTTCCTAACCTCAAATGCAATCAATACACCTTAGCCCATACATGTGAAGATCCATATGAAGGTTATAATAAAGGCTTCGAGCCATCCAGAAAGAAATCCTTCATGATTTCAATAAACCCGTCTCCTAATAATTACATACTTTCCCCTATACTATAATTAAATGTCACGTATTATCGTGGAATTGGATCATCGTGAAATTTAGGGTCTCAATTTGAATATATAAGCCCTACTAAAATCCACCCATACACTTTCATTAGTAACTCTGACCCTAAATCCTGACTTAACTATATAAAAAAAGCCGACAAAAAAGTCTCCCAAAAAAATTTAAAAATTGTATATAAATAGATCCAAATTTCACGATAATCCGATTTCAAGATTATCTGTGGCATTAAATATACTTACATCCCGATCTACTACTCAGTAGTACGATCGTCGTTTGCCGTATTTCTTGCTCATGTGATAATCGACGTGCCGTGGATAGTTTATTGTTTGTTCTGGTTTGAAGTCCAAGTAGAAAATCCAAGCCGTGATTGCGCGGTATTGGCAGTGTTACAGACAAGTGAATAGAAAGATATAGTTATAGTAGTAGTAAGCACAAGCATTAGTGGATAGTAAGCACAAGCTCTAGTGTGATAGTAAGCTTTATTGAAAGGTTTGAGACAAGTAGAAAAAGGAATACGTACCTACGACGAAATCCTAGCTTGTCCAAATCTAAACGCCTCTTATCGATTCTAGCTCGTTTGTAGGTAACACGGCGTTCAGATTTTGGAGCGACTGACTCACCGTTTAGCGTTAGCAATATATACAGCAGC